TTCTTGAGAGACATGATGTACCAGACATGGCCTGCAGTGAAAAAGAAACATCAAAGAAATCGAAGTAGCAAGTCTAAGAGGACATAGTAAACACATGTAAATGTGACAGATGTGAAGCCAAAGCTGAAAGAACACATATCAAATAGGGACATGGACCAGATGCCACAAACCAGGTCCTGGAGAGCCCAGCAGATGGGTGTTCAGTTATCTTAAGGTAAGGTCATACAAAGAAGACATCTATAAAGGAGCTCATTTTGGGGTTCTCCTTCTCTGCATCACATGAGCTGCAGCATTGTAATATAGTTTTCGAAAAGTGTATGCTGCTTATAAAAATAGTTCTGTGCATACTAAATATGGGAGATTTGAAAAATGTACCTGTGTCATATCACTATTTTACAAAAACCTTAGTTCAGTGATTGGCACCAAAGAGCTCTTGCAGTTTTCTTGCTCTAAGCATTTGGACAAAGACTATGATCTTGGCAGTAGGTCTACAGTTGGGTGTGAAAAGTTCCCTTTTACACATTGGTCCAGTGGCAGGGAGCAGCCCTTGGAGTCCCTGGGGAGCACCGGCAGCACCCACAGAGTTTCCTGCCAGCACAGCTGACCCTTCCTTCATCCCCCCTCCTTTGGCCAGCACTTGCTGCAGAGCCAGGCAGAGCAACGGGCATCTCTGTGCTGACTGCCCAGGGTGCTGGATAAGGTCCTCTGGTGGAGGGCTCACGGGAGAGTTATTTTCCCCCTGTGCCTTGCATGTAGGCTGTGAGAAGAGGGCTCCTTTGGTCAGAGGCCAGCCCCTCCAGCAATCTCTCTGACCAGGAGCCCTACAGACAAATGTCCACATGTAAAGCTGGTGGCATTCCTGGTCTCCAAGCTGCCCTTGCAGTGGAAAGGGCACTGCCAGCCACTCAGCATGCAAGTGCTTATCCGCGGGTTGATGCTCAGGACTGGAAGCCTCTTCTGTGCTGGGGCTCCTCATTTACAGCTCTGTGGGGTCTCGCTGTGCACTGGGCTCCTCCAAGCCTTGTTCTGCCTCTACGCCCCAGCTTGAGCATCTGGCTTCTCTACGAGACATGCAGAAAGCTTTGTGTGCCCCAAAGCATGGCTTTCTTCTACGAATAGAAGTTGGTCTAGGTGATAATTGTAGGTCCCTTCCAACTGAAATATTCTATTCTATTCTATATTAGGAGGACAAAAAGAGATGTTATGAACTTGTAGCAGACCATCATAGCTAGAGCTACAACAGTATCTTGTCAGCTCTACTGGTTACCTTCTCTGTTGGCTGGAGAGCAAAAGGAGTCAAACATCCCCTGCTGGCTGATGTCCCCCCTCTGCTTTTCAGCTCTTGCAGTTAGCTCCTGAAACCCAGGAACCACATCCAACACAGAGCCCTCCTTCCAGGTGATCTTGGCTTGTATGTAACCACAGGGGGGACCTCTCAGGCTGCAGCAATCAGTTACATACATGCATCCAAAACTCCATAAAAACAAGAAGAAACAAACCCGCAGCCAGCTTGAAAGCATCCTGTGACACAGCGAGAGCAGACGGGAAAGTGGGGTGATGCTGCTGTGCTCTCGGACTGAGGGGAGTCTGGGCTCCTCATGCCCTGGACCAAGGCACTGGGTAGTACAGGCAATTTACCTTACCCTGTGTAAGAAATGATGGTCCAGAAGAGCTGTGTGGAAAAGAGGAGATTCCCAGCCTGAAGATGCAGCAGCAGCAGCAAAGGGTCATGACTGGAGCATGTCAGGCAACAGCTCATGGGGCTGCATGAGACATAGGGAGGGCTCCTGCATGTGCTTTCAAGACAACAGAGCCAGGTCCCCAAGTGATGGTCTGGCTTGGCATGAGCCCAGCCGGGAGATTGCATCGCTCTCGTTAGTGGCTTCATGCTGAGCAGAGGGACACGCTGCTACCACCCTGTGAATGCTGCAGTTCAGCAGCCACGGGGCCAGTGTGCTTCTGCCACCTCCCCACGCACCTGCAATCCATGCAACTCATCCTTGGATGGCCCAGACAGACTGGATGAGCTGGCAAAGGAGAGGGCATGAAAATGGACTTTTAAAAAATTTTTTTAAAGGCAATGACTTGTGAAAAGCCTGAATACGTTTTATTGAAACAGGTGTCAGTGCTGGAAAAATCAGAGATGTTGTTAAAAATGTGTTAATGTGTTAAATGTCTCACTCCAAGGGACTGTGGTCTGACTAGGTTGTTGGACCACAGGCCCCCAGACCTCCCTTCCCAACCTACGTGCTTCTTTGACGTTAAGATCCTGGTGCTCTGCTCCTGCGAGGAAGGAGGGTCGCTGCTGGAGGGGGCTGGCAGGGAGCTGCTGGTGAAGGATCTGCTCCCTGAGCAGACCTGGAGGTATTTACAAGCTCTTCCAAGGAGTCCCTGAAGGGCTGTAGAGTAGGAAGGAGATGCAAGTCCAAGTCCTCTCTGTAGTGTGATGAAGGAGACCACAGCTGAACCCCTTCCTGAACCCAGTGAGCTCCAACCCACATGATAACATTGCCCAGGGTGTTTTCAGAGGGTTTTGGAATTGTCAGCCCAGCATGCCCACAGTATCCAGGGTGATCCAAATTCACACATGGTGGCAGAGGAAACATCACCCAGGTCTTTCCCTAATTCATCTTGGTCCTTGGGAATACAGAAAGAAAATGAATGTTATTCATCGCATGGAGGGGCACTTTGTAAGGTGTGTGTCCCACCTGAAGGGTACCCACCAAGCACACAGCCTGGAACAGAGCCAGGGGAAAGCCAGTGGCTGTGAAACTAAAGAAACAGCCAAGCTATTCCACGGACTCTTTTAGCTGAAAGATGCTGTCAGCCATAGCGAACCATGATGAGATCGGTGCGGGAACAGCAGAATCCCTTGGCTCCTGTGTGCTCCGAGAGCCATTGAACAAATGCAAGTGCATTGGCCAGGGGAAGAGGAGTAATTGCTAGCTCCAGCTAAATGATGACTCATGTAAGGAGAACATGAAGTGAGGCCATGTGCACAGGCCCCAGAACAGGGCTACAAAGGTGAAATCAATTAGCTGGTGATCTGCAGCATAGATTACACTTCACTGAAGCAGAGCCTTAGCCCTCCTGCAACACAGCTCCTGACAGGCAGTCCTCACTGATACTCACAGCTGCTCTAGCAGAGACATTTGGGTAGCTTCTCAGCCTGATTCACCCCAGTGGGATAGTAAACAGCAGAAGAGGCTGGGTAGAGACAGTGAGGCAATGTTGGGCCTGTCTGATGTTTCAAGGTACCATGAGCAATGTAAGGTCAGTGCTTGCCCATTGCAGACTCAGCAGTTGGTGTTTGCTATGTAGAGGAAAGGAGCATATCTAGACTTGCAGGTGGAGGTGGTGACTGTTCCAATAGTTAAGGAGCTAAACCTTTGTAAGCTGGGTGGTTTTGCTATTTGTAAAATTCTCTTCAGTTCTCTCCATTTCTGCACTTCAAGAGATTTTCTTTGAAAATGGCATCATTGAAATAATGAGTGAACAGTGATATTTAGCATGCTAGGATTAATGCATGAGTGATCGCAGAGTCAAAGTCTGTCACAAGAAACAATCAAATACAAAGAACACAGGTGAAACTTTTGACCTTTTAGCTCAACTCAGGGCTGAGCAGATGAACATAGACTGTGATGAGATGGACAGCTGATCTAATCAGCCTCCTCTCTTCAAGGGTGCCTTTTTCTAGAATAGCTTCATAAAGCAAAACCGTTCTGTAGTATGCAATGAATGATCGCAGCTCAAGTAATAACGTTGAGTTGTTGATTCCACTCGCCAGGCACAACAAATCACTATAGCCCAACAGATACCACATGATAACTGAAGAAGTCCCCATCCAAAATATCCCCAATGCAAGGAAACACTAGAGCAATGACACAGACAAGCTGCTTCTAGCCTGCAGCCATCCCATTCCCTCAACTCATCCCTTGGTCAGATGTTGCTGCCTCCGTCTCAGGCAGAGCTGCCTCTGAGAGGCAGATCCTGTGGATCTGTTTAGTTTTTATGCTGTAGATGATGGGTTCAGCATTGGCGGGGGGGCCAGCAGGTAGACATTGTCCATGATGACATGAATGAGAGGGGAAGCATGCTTGACATACCAGTGAGCCATGGACTAGGCAACTGGGATCAGGACTGCCAGGATATGGGACAGGTAGTTGTTCAAAGCCTTGAGATGCTCTCTCTGGGATGTGATGCTCAGAATGGCCCTAGCAATATATGGCATAAAAATGAGGATGAGGTCAAAAGTCAGAAAGAGAACTGCTACAGCAAAGTCATACCAGTTATTAAATGCAATGTCTATACACACCAGCTTGATCAGGTCTTGATGCAGACAGTAATGGTAACCTTAATTCCAGAAGTGGAGGAATGCTTGATGAGACACCTGGACCAGCCCAGGACACCTGGGCTGCTGAATTTAGCAGCCTGATCCTGCCTATCCTGGCACTGGTGAGCATGGAGGAGTATCTCAGCAGGTTAGTAGATGGCCACATAGTGATCAAAAGTCATGGCCGGAAGCACAGAGGATTCCATGAAGGAGAAGGGATGAATTAAAAAAGATTGAGCAAACCAAACATCAAGACTAACCTGCCTGGCATCAAACCACAACACTCATTACTGTTGGTATTTTAGAGACAAACCCAAACTGGTGATGACAGCACAGATAGGAATTGATACAGGAGCTCATGGAGGCTTAAGTCAGTCCTGGTGACAAACAGGGTTGTGCAGTTCCCTACAAGTGACAGAAGATAAGCAGAAGAAAATGAGATAAAGAGCAAGCTGCGAACATCTTCCATCCCAGCAATACCAATCAGGATTAACACCGAGGGTTTGCAAGCCACTGCTGTTCCATAATGTCATACTATAACATGGATGCTCTGCAGTACATCACTACAGGGTGTTTTAAATGAAGATCCCCTCTCCATACCTCACAAAGAATCTGAGGGTGTCACCTAGCCTGGGAAGCAAGAACAATCATGCTGCTGTTGGCAGTCTTAGCAACATGATCCTCTTCCAGCAAGAATCAAGGGACAGAGGGAGAGAGGAACTAATTGTAGCTGCAGACCAATTTGCCCAGATCTCATGCAGTAGCTTACAATAGGCAAAGTTATCCTACCATTGCCAAGCACGGGAACAGTACCATGGGATCAGTGAAGTGTCCAGGGAGCAAGTGTCTACAACTAGAAGTTTCTCATAAAGAAGAAATGCTGGCTGCAGTATCACTTGCAGCTAATCCCAAAGCAACTTTCAAAGAATAAAACCATGAGTGGTTGGAGACAGTGAGGTCAGATGTCCCTCCAGGGACAGGACTGCAGGCAGTCATGTTTTCACATTGGCATGGGATAGGAGGACTTCACACCTGCCCCGAAGGGGATCCCAATATGCTTCTAAGAGACAAGTACCTGAGCATTGTTTAGACACAGTGGCAGAGCTGACCAGAACCTGCATAGACAGCAAACCTGTTGACAGTGGGAGCTGCCTGAATAGGATTTTCCTTAAACTCAAGCAGCCTTGCCTTTATAGAGTTGTTTTATTTTTGTCCTTTTTGGATATCGCTGTCACAGGAATCAGTTCCAGGTGCTTCCTCTTCCCCATCCTTAGCTGGGTCAGACAGGGCAAACCCATACCCCACACATCAGCTAGAAGACATTTTTTTATTTCAGGCTGGGGTCAGTCCTAGGATAGCTTCAGCTTTTGCAGACAACATGTTAAGTTAGAGAGGGAAAGAAAAAAGTGCTTCTCTGTTTCCTATAAAGGCAAGGAATAAGTAACCAGCTACAATAGAGGCTGTATCATTAGGAGCATTTTAAAAATCCAGTAAACCAGAAAAACTGGGAATAGCTGCTTTGATCTAAAGACTCCTTAAAGTATTTGAAATACTATAGAGCTCTGCAGGCTGGACAGCTGTGGACTTTGCCTCACCTGGGTAGCGCAGCGCATTTCCCCATTGCTCTCCCCTTTGCCATTCATAGAATCATAGAATCATTGAGGTTGGAAAGGACCTCTAAGATCATCGAGTCCAACCGTCAACCCAACACCACCATGCCCACTAAACCATGTCCCTAAGTGCCTCATCTACACGTCTTTTAAATACC